AATCATTCAATACAACTCCTATCAAAGATCACCTAAATCACCTGAATAAAGTATAAAAGTTCAAATAAAAATAATAAATTAATTAATCAATAATTAATCTATAATTTTGTAATAAAAATTTATCTATTATTTCATAAATATATTAATAAATAAATAAGACCAAAAATTAAACTTGTAATCCCATTTCCTTATTCAATCATTCAATCATTCAACAAAACTCCTATCAAAGATCAACTGATTTAATTGAATCAACCACATAAGGTATAAGAATTAAAAAAAAAAAAGTTCTTAAGAATATAAATAAATAAATGAATGTTAAAAGATACAAACCTATCATTGTCTCGTGACCTCAGCTCATCGATACGTCTTCGACGTTCTTCCTCTCGTTGTTCTCGAAAACGTTGAGCAGCAAGTGCCTGCTGTCTCAGCTCTTCAAGTTTCCGTTGTCTTTCCTCGTTTTGCCTTTCACGAACGAGCCTCGCCCTGTCAACATCTTTAGCGCTTCCCGTAGAGTCTCGTGCTGTCAACAATTTATTTATAATTATTGATATATCCTTTTTATTTGTCTTTCATTAATTTCATTCATTCGTTCGTTTACTTCCGTCATACATTTACTCGTAAAAAAAATAAACACACATACACATACATATAGTTATTAAATCATCCCACGCTCAACATCACACGTACACGTAGTACACGCCCACAAATAAGATAACACACGTAAAGACGTTTTTTTTTTTGTGAAAGAATTTTTTTTTTTTTTTTTTTATTATTATTATTTTATCATCGATTATTCGAACCACAATTTTTAACACGTTGAATATTAATAAATAATTTAATACGATTTAACTTGTAATGCTGATACAAATTTTTTTATTGTTTATAGAAAATTAGATAATTGTTAAATGCAATAGATTTTTTTCTTTATTATTATTATTAAGTGGTCTAACCCAAAATAATTAAAATTTATTATTTTATAATATTTTAAAGTTTTATAATAAATTAAAGTTGAATTGCATTCAACGTGTTAATGTCAAATAGAAAATAAATTTTCCAAAAAAAAAAAATAAAAATCTATCTAATATATTGCTTTGTTTTTTTTTATTTTATTTTTATTTTATTAATAACAACTCGTCAGCTGTAAATTTCGCATATTTTTAGATTGGACCTCCCGTTGTCCACTAATTTGTTCCACATGTCATGTTGCACATCACTGCACAAATATTACACGTATATATATGATAGTAGTAGTAGACATATAAAATAAATTCTCTCGACCGTAAACAAACGATGAAAATTAGTCTATGTCACGAGAGAACACAACGGATAAATAATACCCTTTTCGAATCATCCCTTTATCAACCAACCCACCTACCCAGTTCTTCTTTTTCATGTTAAACCCTTTTCGTCAATAATTCTCATTGCTAAAGGCTACGTTGTATATACAAAAGATATAAAGTACGATGCAAATATAATAAGACAAAGAGAAACATAGAAACAAAGTGAGATAGAAAAGATTAAGGATAATGAATTAATAATAATAATAATTATAATAATAAATTAAAAAAGGAAAGAAAAGAAAAGAAAGAAACATACGATTAAGTGATTGACAGTGCGATGAGACAAGCACGAGCACTCACAGCAATGAAAAATCAAATGAAATATTGAAACAAATAAAAAAGCATTAGCTTCTTTTTACAGAGTTAGAATTTTTATATTAAAAACAAAAAAAATTAAAAGATAGAAAGATACACATAACAAAACATATAGAGAAACGGACAAAAAAATATATAAAAAAAAAAAATAAAAAAAAGAAGAAGAGGAATTAGGACAAACAAAATAAAATGATTGAAATTACAATTGGAAGAAATAATAAAAAGAAGACACGTGGAAAGAAGGAGAATAATAATAAGGACACGAGAGAAGACACGTGTTTATATTAAACGCATAAATAAGAAGAAAAAGAAGAAAAAGAAGAAGAAGAAAAAGAAGAAGCCCTTTTGTGAAAAGGTGATACCTTCGTTCTCGTCAAGACGATCATCGTCGAGGGAGTCCTCGTCGTAGAGACTTCGGCGGCGCTTCACATCTGCCGAGAAAGAAAGGGAGAAAAAAAATATATGTGCGAGAGGCACGTGAGAAATATTTGATACAATATATTCCACCAAGAAGATATATTCTTATTTTATTATTTTTATTATTATTGTTATTTGTTTAGTTGTTAATTGTTTGATTGTGTTGATGATATGTTTACTGTTCCTTGTTCTTGTTGGTTGTTACTCGTTTTATTTTGGTTTTTTTTTTTTTTGAATATTTGTTCTTGTTGTTTTGTAATTGTTATATTTTTCTTTGTTTATTATTACTATTACTATTTTGTTTGTTTGTTTGTTTTTTTTTTTTAAATTATTTTCTATTATGCAAAAGCACATGCATGCTTAACAACAACGATAACAACAACAACATACGAGCATCGTTCATATGCAATAAGCACAAACGTGGTTTTTATCAATTTTAAAATAATATTAATTATATGTTTGTTTTTTTTTATTAATTGTTATTATTTTATATATTAATCTTTGAATTACATTATAAAATAATAATATATAATAATTTTGAGAAGGTTCCAATTCATTGTCAATTGTTCTTTTAATTCAACTGACAGATCACATCGTTCATTTGCAATAAACACAAATATGGTTTTTACAAATTCTAAAATTATTATTTTAAAAATAATAGTATAATATGAAATTATATGTTTTTTATTAATTGTTATTATTTTATATATTAATCTTTGAATTACATTATAAAATAATAATATGTAATAATTTTGAGAAGGTTTCAATTCATCGTCAATTTTTTTTTGTTTTAATTCAACTGACAGATCACATCGTTCAGATGCAATTAACACAAATGTGATTTTGACAAATTTTAAAATTACAATTTAAAAAATAATATTAACATATTTAATTATATGTTTTTTATTAATTGTTATTATTTTATATATTAATCTCTTGCAAATACATTATAAGATAATAATTTGTAATACTTTTGGAGAAGGTTTCAATTCATCGTCAATTTTTTTTTTTTTTTTGTAATTCAACTGACAGATCATCACATTCTCTTCAATAATTTTTTATATCACCATACTTAAATTAATAATGTTCAATCGAAGAAAAAATTTCAATTGATCGTTGTAATATCATTTCAGTAATAATTAATCTTTGCTTTAATCGTTCGTTACATTTGTACACACATCATCATGCCCTATATAAACCTTATTGAATGAAATTCAGTTCTAAGGTACAACACAACGTAACACACACACACACACACTCTCTCTCTCTCTCTCTCTGTCTCTCGCTCTCTCTTTGGTCATTTTGATTAACATTCAAACAGTGAACAACGTACATTTGAAATTGTTTGTTCGTTGTGTTAAAGGGTGATGTATGTACATATGTATGTAATAACGAAACTGGTATTGAGTTTACACGGTTAAATCAATCTAAAGGTTAGCTTCAATTTGTTAAGCATACACACACACACACACACACACAAACTCATAGATAACAACGAATAATATTATCGTTGTAGTTGTTACTGTTATTATTATTAATATGATTAATATCTCTCATCATCATCGTCATAATAATCAAAGAAACACACGGGAAGAAAAAAAATGTATCACGATGAAAGAGAAATAAAAATGAACTTTTAATAGTAATCAATAATTAGAATAAATATAATGCAAGAAAAAGGAATGAAATAATTTGAATACAAACGTGTGATTGGTTGTTAATCTCAGTTTACGAAATTCACGCATGGTAATAGAAAATTACGCGTGCAGTATGTTTCAAATTATTATCGCATTGGTAGTAAAACTCACACAACCTTGATATGCGATATATATATTTATTTATTTACCGTTCCGATGATGATTATTTGGAAAATGATTAGTATCACCACCACCGTCACCTCCTATCTGAGCGAACCAATGCATTGTTTCTTCTGCGAAATAGAAATCAGTCATCAAAAAGGAATATTACGAAAGAAATTTATTTCTTTCCTCTCTATCCCTTTGTTTGTTTGATTTTTTTTTTTTTTTTTTTTATTTAAATAAACCTCTGTGTTCATTATAATTTTCCCTTTCATTTTTTAATGAATTTTTGTCTAAATCAAAATTCAAATATTAATCTTGAATATAATATATGAAATTGTAATATAATAACACGTATGTAACACATGTTTGTAATTTTATTTTAATTTTTGTTCTTTTAAATATTAATATATTGGATAATATATATATATATTTGAAATTATAATATAATAACAATGTATATAATACAAGTTTTTAATTTTAATTTTATTAATATTAAATTTTGTATATATTATCTATTTTATATTATTTAATTTTGTAATATTAATATTTAATTTAATTTTATTTTAATTTAATTTTTGTTCTTTTAAATATTAATATCTTAGAAAATATATATGTAAAATTATAATATAATATTTTGTATATAATCTATTTAATATTATTTATTTTTTTAATATTAATATTTAATTTTATTTTATTTTAATTTTAGTACTTTTAAATATTAATAACTTGGTTGTAATATATATATATATATATATATATATATATATATATATATATATNTATATATATATATGAAATTATAATATAATAACATGTATGTAACGCATATTTTTCATTTAATTTCTTTTAATATTATTATTTAATTTAATTGTATTTTATTTTAATTTAATTTAATTTTTGTTCTTTTAAATATTAATATCTTAGAAAATATATATGTAAAATTATAATATAATAACAATGTATATAATATAAGTTTTTAATTTTATTTTTTTTTAATATTATATTTTGTATATTATCTATTTAATATTATTAATTTTTTTAATATTAATATTTAATTTTATTTTATTTTAATTTTTCTTCTTTTAAATATTAATATCTTGAATAATATATATACACATGAAATTAAAATATAATAACACGTATATATTACATAAATAATTCAAAATCATTGTAACCATGCATACTTTCCATAGTATTTTCTTTTTTTTATACTTAAATGGGGATGGTGTTGTATGGACCTTGGGTTTTTCTATCATTCGCAAAAAATAGTAGATACTAGTAATAGTAGTCGGTATTTTTCTTTGTCACATCGGTTCAAATTATCGTTTAGCTCGCCTAGAACTGTGAGGGTGTAACAGGGGTGTGAGTAGAGCGGGGCAGAGGGTAGTAAAGAAGCCGAGGGCTCTCAATGAAAAGCTACGACGAAGAAAAAGAAGGAAAAAGAAGGAAAAAAAAAAAAAATAAGAGAAAGAAAGAAAGAAAGAAAGAAAGAAAGAAATAGAAAGAGAGTAATACACGTGTAGGCTCTCTCCCGTTAATCTTCGTCGCCTTGAAAGTGGGTCGAAAAACAATGAGAGTCCAGTCTTTTCATCTGTTTTCGCAGGTTTCCTTCACCACGCTCGAAATAGAATTTTAATGAGAAGGGAAAACTCAATGGTCATTGTCAATTGCACGACAGCTTCGAACACAATAACCATTCCCTTTTTTTCTTTTCCCTTGAAGTAGGTGGTGGATAGTGGTGTAGGTTGGTGATGGTTTATAATGGTGATGGTGGTGGTTTATAATACACCCCTGTCTTAACTCTTTGAGATAACACGACCAATACTTTTTATTTTGTTAAAACAACCATAAGAAATATTTTTTTTTCTTTTCTTTTTTTTTTTGGTTTCACACCTTCAAACCTTTCTTTTGATCTTTTTATGGGTAATATATTGGAAAGTTGGATAATACATTTTTAGAGAGGGTGGTTTTATTTTTTTAATGTATATATGTATATTTTACTTTAATTATTATATTATAATTAATTAATAATTATTATAATATATAATTCATTAAAAATAACTAATTAATA